CCGTGTGGACCTACCGATAGACGGCGAGGTTGTAAAGAGGCATTTCATTGCCGAAGTACCTTATGCGCTTTCGTGAAATACTTTAATACCTGATATGGGTTTGTATTCCAGAATATGTTAATAGCGCCGCGACCTCTTTAAATTGCCCCCTAGGCAATTAGGAACAGTGCTTCACAAAGTCTGACTTTGCAGCGGTTGTTCGCCTGTTGACACCTGGCGTACTAACCCATATCTGTGTAAAGTGTGATTTTCCATACTCATATTATTATTATTATTATCACTGAGCAATCCAACTGCATCATGTTTGTTTTTCTGCGAGTTTCATAAAGTTTTTGTTTATGTACGAATCACGTCGTGTTGAGTCTTAGCCTGCTATCTGGTGAGTCAAGGCAAACGTTCACGTCAAGCTCACGCATAACGGTACGGTCTTATTTCTTGCACTGTCTGACATTGCCACATTAGCTCATCACACTTTTCCTGATGGTGCACTGGTGATCAGCTTTCTACGTTCTGTCGGATGATTGCACCGAAGTACAGGGTGATGAATTCCAGGCTCAAAAGAATTACTGATTAAAACGAAACTTGAAGCCACCCTGCGATTCGAGCTAACATCTTTATAGAGTTCTTGCGTAGTGAAGTGACCGTCTATTGAATCACTGCTCACCTGCGCCCAACCAAAGTTAATGACTTGAATACTTTTATAGGCCTTAACATTTTGCATTGATCTTTTAACCACGTCCTTTGCAGTTATTTTCATAATTTAGCTCTGGTTCTACTTCATTTCCATACTCTGTTTTCACCGATAGATGTCGTTTAGAATCAGGCGAACGAGTTGGAGGTAAACTACACTAAGGCGGCTGCCGAAGTAGCCAAAAGGATCAACATCGGCGTGATCGCGAATGATACCTTGAGAAGGCTTATCACAAAGGCAACGGACGAAGGAATATACGCTCTCAGGGAAGAGGAGCTTAATGAGGTATGCTCCGTGGAAACTATCCCCGAAACGCTCGCTACGTTAACATTTTTAGCTTAAAAGCAACCAAAGAAAAATTAACGTGATCTTCTTCAGTACCTCCGTCTGTGAGCCCGGAAGACCGCCGCCGTGCAGCTTGTTTCACACCCCAGGTAGAGTGATTCTTTTGATGCTTTTTGAACGTCGACAATTAACCTTCGTTGTGCCGACCGTCAGAAATCGTGAACGTAATGGCGACGTCAACCGACTACAACCAGCTGTACCACTTGTGGACCGGATGGAACAACCTGATCGGACCAGCCATTCAACAGTATTACTTGAACGTCGTTCAGCTGACCAACAAAGCTGCTCTCTTGAACGGTAAATTCCTTGTTTCGAATCTGGTCAGAGGCTCATTTCAGGTGCACTGATCTAAAGATGCAATAACAGGAGGAAAGGATTTGTTTCCATAGCAAGTAACAGTAAAATAAGTAAATATATGAATCATTGCTTAAGACTTTACGGCATAGAAGCACCTTTTCCTTGTGTCTAGTTTTTTCAGGACTTGTAAACGAGAGCATAATGCCATGTAGTTTCTCTGGGTTGCTCAGGCTTGGTGGGGTCACTTGGTTTTGTTTTTTTCTCGTGGCTTTTGTTGACAATGAATGAGTAACACTCTAGGAAGTAAACAAAAAATTGAACCAAATACTGTGCTCGGCCTTTAAAATAAGGCACTCCGGGCTGATGGCATAGAAACGAAGATCAGAACCTCACCATTAACGTCATTAAAAGAAGACCACCAGCATTGGCCCTATCGTGAAAGTTTAAGGCATTCCAACAACATTCCTTTCCTCCCTAACTTACCACTCCGTGGTATAAACAAAATAGAAACAAAATCTTTGGTCAAGCAAGGACAAGTCCACGTCGTTGGATGATATCCACGTCAAGGAGATACAAGTTTGTACATTGTGGCATCATGGAAGACGAGATTTATTGCCGCTGTCATGGTTGCCTAATCAATCCTAATTGTTTAATAGAGTGGAAAATTATAGCCTAAATAATACATACTTATGTGCACTAAAGAATGGCGCTGATATATCGCATTATAATTTACGACAAACTTGTAGGGTTGAACAGTGGTGCTGACATTTGGTACGGAAAGTACGAAGTGTCAGGCATTGATTCGTTCAAAACTATGTACGAAGACGTGAAGCCGCTGTACATGCAGTTGTACACGTACTTGCGCCGAGAGCTGCATTTGCGCTATCCGACTCACGTGCCCACAAAGGGCATGATACCAGCGCATTTATTCGGTAAGTCGGTGGTGGCGGTGGCAGCCGTATTCCGTGAGCATCCGCCCTTCCTTCAGGAGAAATTTCGGCGAAACACTGGTCCAATCTCTACGAGTCGACGAAGCCCTTCCCAGAGGAACGGACCGTTGACTATATGGAACTGCAAACAAAGGCATGTGTCAGTGTTACAGTCAGAAACCTGTCACATTTTCTTATAGGATTGGTCGGTCGAAGATATAT